TAATGATCTATAATGGTATCGTAGAGTTCAATTCTATGAGTGAGAAGATCGATCACATCTCAATTTCTAATGGTTTCGTTAGTGGGAGATATCTACAGTGATGTCTTTTGACTTTAAATATATGAGTGTCAAGATAGATAATTTTTTGAATTATGGGCAAGAGTTATATGTATCAATAAGAGGACAAATTTATCATCTATTGGACACTCTACTACCACCAGAATATTCAACTTCTAAGTTAGTTGAGTTATACATTCATCAAAGAAAAAATAAGTTGAAATGAATATGATTCGATCATTACATATGATCATTTTAAATCATGTGCGTGATTTTTTTTCCACGAGGTTGAAAATATATTAGATGCTCACAATATATGGGCCAAGCATATAGATGCACGAAAGGAAAAATCAATGAAAAGTTATGTAAGTACAACATATGATGTTGAAAATTGTTGACCAATAAAAGAGAAGATGATGGTGAATATAATCTTCAAAATAGTGATGAAGTTATAACTCTTATTGTTTTACATGATCGTTGCTCTTAGGCACACTAAAATTAAATATGTTGACCCTACTATTAAATAAAACTCAAATAATAAATAATATTAATAAATATTAAATTTTTACAAAGAGGCCTATCACATAATAACAAAAAAAATAAAGCATGCCGCCCATCGGGCGGGCACAAAACTAGTTCTTTATAATAGATTTCTAATTCATTTATGAGGTGTTTTCTCTAGTCTTGTAAAAGATTTAAATATTAGCTGTCTTTTTTTCAAATAACATATAAGAGTACGAAACATTAAAAGTTGTGATAAAGATCGGCATAGGTGAATGAACGATGTCAGAAACTCCCCGACTATAAAGAAGGAGGAACGTAACCTCATCTAAAACTATTTATTTCTCTGGTTAAGATCTTACATACTCATATTTTTAGAATATCACTCCTAACTTGATAATTAGAGAATTAAGAGTCTCTGACACCCCCTGTGTCAAATATTTGCAGGCGCACGAACCGATTAAACAGGCAACGGGCTGGTAGTGGTTGACACTTGACACCAAGGCTAGCAAAAGGGTAGTAGGGTTCAACAAACCAATGCAAAATCTCGTATTTGGTTGGATCTCTCATTTCTCTGACACTTCCGTTGAAAAATGCACCCCTGCTGGCTACAGAGTCGTCTCCAATGCCACTAAAGAAGATGGCCCAACTATTATTGTTAGTCAGTCCTCAGTCCACTTCCAGAGATTCCTAGATACCTTCACAACTTGGATTCTCCACCCTTGCTCTTTTTGACAACGTGAATAGAAAAGTGTACGTACTGGATCCACTGAGTGACTGTTCATTAGTAGTCTCCTTTGTTGTTATGATTATTCCCAATTGCGCTTTTCCCACCGTACCGAATGATATCCCAAATGGGAAATTGTTGTAGCGGATCTTCCCTCACAGTGGTTACCAGAAAACTCCCATTTCAATTTGCATGCTTTATTTTCCCCATCGCATTTGGTGCACAAATACGGTCATGGATGGCGACTAACACTACCGGCGGCTGCATTCTCAAGGGTCCAGAAAAGAGAGCATGTGGGGTAATGGGTGCCGGGTGGAACTCAAACTGATGATTTTACTTTCCGCAAGTTGAGGAGCTAACTCCATCCACCGCCGTCCACTAGCATAATCTCTCTGCAAAAGTCTAATGTTTCCACACACATCGATCGCCTAAACCGAATCTTCGAAGAATCATGCTAGCATAGCATGTTGGATGGGATGTTCAGCCCAGGTTGAAACAGCGGGAAGGAAAATGGCCATGCGCGATCTGGATATCGATTGGGTGTTTCATCAATAATGTCATTTAACAGAGAGCTAGGGTGATCTTTTTTGAGCAAAGTCCTTGGTGCTGTTGGGAGTGAATAGTTTTGAATTTATGATTGTTGGGCTGAGCGCCTAAGCCTTGCAAAAGATATATAAGATTACAGGTTCTTCTATATTGAGTCTCGGTGTTATTAAAGCCGAGCCGCTCGACCCAACCGGTAAAACCGCCACCCGGTCACAAAATCGGTTCGGAACAGTTTAAAAGCCGCTTCAATTTTATGTAGCGGTTGACGAGCAGCCGAGGCTACACAGCTCGAGCCGATCGAGCCGCTCGTCCGGTTTTTGCCATTCTGCCGTTAAATTTAATTAAAAAAATTGCAGAAAATTGAAAATTGAAATAAACCAAAAACGTCGGGCTGTCAAACTGAATCCTTATTTCCATTTCAAAATTTCGAAGGAAAGAGACGAATTCTGATTAATAAATGGCCACTATTTATACTGATAATGTTTATTAGGTACCTCTAACGATTTTTAAACAGTCTAATGCCGGTTGGACCACTATAGTGCGAGTCATTCGCATTATCGGGTCATGCTCCGGTTTGGTTCTGACAACATTGGTCTTAACGATATACTCTTGGATTGATCCACTTTTGTGGAAGAGGAAGGACATCCACATCACACACGTGCATGGTTCGTCGGTCAAGTAAGCGAGTGAGTGGGTGTGGATTAGCCGGATTAAGACTATATCTATTTTGGAGAAATTCCATATTAATAATATGATTTTCTTTCTCATATGAAAAAGGAAACATAAAAAAGGATAATTAATAGCAAAATATGTTTTAATTACAGAGATTATCAACGTTACTAATTCCTCACAAAGAGGGTATTCGAAGGGTTTTCGGATCCTATAAACAGTCGATTCCTTGTTAGTTAATGGGATTTTTCCTAATGCATTTAGCTGCATGACTATGATTGGAGTAGTAACGCCTTATCATAAGATGAGAAATATTTCTTTCCGTATAAGGATTGCATTTTTTGTAATGGAAAACTACATTGACATAGTTTTTTATATGATCATTAATTAATTCTTAATCATCTGACTTATCTTTATAGAGTAAATAATAGATCGAAGGAATTAATTATATTATAGTTAGGTCTGGACATTACTAAATTAGTTTATCAAAATAACTTCTTCACCATAACTAGTATTGGACAAATTTCAGTCTCCTATAGGAATGAGACCAAACTAGTATTGGACAAATTGCTTATTCTTTCCTTTTAACTTATTTGCGGTAACTGTAAAAAAAAAACAAAAAAAAAACTTATTTGCGGCTCATAACCAACGATTGAGCACCACATGTTGACACTTGGGTTGTTAAATTTCAATTTGTCGTTCAACTGTTTTCACTATGTACATTGGTAAATACAGAAAGAGAAGGAAAAAACAGAGCTAGCTAACTCACGTTTTCAGCCGCTCTTCCACCAAAATCTTTTTTTTTGATAAGGCTCTTCCACCAAAATCTTTCTCCTCTCTTTTCAGTTCTGTTTCAAACCCTCACAATTCTCCATCTAATATTCGACTATGATTCCACTGACTTTCTGTTATAATAGCCAAGTAGTACACGTATCAAACATATGAAGGGAATGAATCAACATGCTGTCGCTTCGTTAACTAACTTATAAAATCAATGTTGAACCTAATTTGTATTGGGTTTGGCTCGGGTCCTCGAGAACCCATTAATTCTAATAAATTGAGTTGTTTGTAGAAACTCAATAATAAATCTTATATTATATATTAAAGAAGATTTCTCGGTAACAAAAGACTCTAATACCATGTCAAGAACCAATTTATTCCAAGAACTCGAATTGTTGGCAAAAACTCAATAATAAATCTTATACTACATAGGTAAATGATGTAGCTAAGTGGATATATATGTGGGATGGAATGATAGAGATTCATGAACTACTTGCTGAATTATAAGGGTTTGATACCACGTGACAGATTGATGCATAAATGCCCATGTTCGATCGATGAGTCCAAACTCCAAAGAATTAGCTTTGATTGGGATCGATGGTGCTGCAGCCAGCCACCTTAATTCAATAACCAATCAGCAATAAGCCAAGTACGTACAAATTCCATGGAATATATATATCATATTGGATTCATAGATGAAGATAAAAAAGTCCTGCTCTGCAAATTGCGTGCAATAGTTAGACTCTATTATATATGGCAGTGTACTTCTGTTTCTGGGTCGAGAGAGTAACGTGAACTGTGAGTGTGCATGTATATCCGTTGATCCCTTTCCATTTTTGAGATAAAGGACAATGAAATTACACTTACTGATCCCCTGACTTAATAAGGGTAGATAATCTTTTCTCCTAGCTAGGGTGCCGTGATTATCATATGGATTTTTCACTACTCCGTATCAACTGTTTTTAAATTTAAAAGTCGCAGTTTCAAATCATTTAAATAATATCTAATTATAAAGGGTTATAGGTAAAATATGTTCCTCAACTATTTTTTACATCAAACATGCCTCTGTATTTTGAAAAAATCATCAAACATATCCTTCTGTTAAAATTTCCATCCAAAATCCGTTAACAAAGGCCGAACTTTGGTTGGGGTGACACAAATGTCTAAAATATCCCTAATAATTTCACTTTAGAATTTTTTTGGTTCTTTTGTATAGCCAAATAATTCAAATAATATCACTTTGAAGAGACCCAGAGAAATAAAACGGGAGACAAAACTGATATTTTCGCTCCCATCTGTAGATGTCGGGTCGTCTAAATCTCGGTTCAATCATGATTGACGATTTTTTCAATGAAAAGTTTAACAGAATGGCATGTTTGATAATTTTTTCAAAGTACATGGGCATGTTTGATAAAACGTCATAATAGAGGGGCATTTTATACCTATAACCCAATTATAAATCAAATCTATGCCATCAAAATAACAATTATAAAAAAAATAATATATTGAATGAGCAAAAATGAAATCTTTGTTAGAGACAACAACGGTACATAAATTAAATTAAAATATTGTCACTTTCACTGAAAAAGAAAATCCAATAATCATGTCACCCTTTGAAACTTATTAAAGCACCTACATGCACCAAACTAGTTTCACTCAGCTTGTGGCCACTTGCACCCCATTGTGTGCCTATATATAGCTTAGTAATTCACCGGTAGAAGAAGCCTCTCCAACATATATAAGTACCACTAATCCCCTGTCCTACTAATTAAGTCCTATTATCAATACCCATCGTCCCTCTTCTTGTCACCCACCAACACCATGACCAGATTCAACTCTCTTAAATTGCTCATTCTTCTACTAGCATTTTCTCACGGAGTCTCCTCTACTCTGGCAAGGCCGTTCTTGATTATCAACAAAGTTCATGGGGAATATTCCGAGTTCCACCGCCGTGGTCTCTTGGTCGTTGTGAAGGAGCAGAACGGCGACAAGACGAGGATAGGAGCCGGTAGGGGTGGCTCCGGCGAAACTATGCCACGAGGAAGCCCTAAAACAGAGGTAGAGAGTGACGATTTCCGGCCAACAACACCGGGACACAGCCCCGGCGCCGGTCACGCCACCGGCCCTTCCAACGCCCCAAATAACTAGTTTGTGACGTGTGTATGATGATTTAATGTGCGTAAAAGCATTACCCACCGTCGCTTAATTTGTGCGGTCTACATATATATGTATATAGTAGTTGATTATGATGCTTTATGTGTATAGTACTTTACTAGGGTGTAAGTGTGTAACAACTCCATTAGGATGGATTGTGATTGGTTATAAGTAGGAGTTTGCATTATTATTCTAAGCCGCCATGCGCCAAACTATGTGTATCATGAGTGCATGGCTGCATGCCAATAATACTAATTCCAATTTATTACCATTAACAATATGCAAAACTTTAACAACTTTAATGATTTAATCCACTCGCCTACGTTTATATACCACTGCTGATGTTAATACGAATATGTTGATACGAACGACGAATATGCCTAGAGGTGGCAAATGAATTGGATCAAGTGGATTGGTGTATTATCCATGAATCCAAATGATTGGACCAATATGTAAAAATGTGAAAAGTTTTAAGTACTAAAAGATCATAATGAAAACATTTAGGTACCAAAATGTAATTTTCCAGTGATATTTTTCCTATAAAACATGAATTTTGAGTACCAAAATGTAAAATGTAGAAAGTATAGGTACCAAACCATAATTTATCATTTGGATTCATGGATCACTCCATGAATCCACCAATCCAATTGGATTTTGATCAAATGGATTAGATTTAAATGGATTGGAATATGTGAATATTTTTTATGGATTGATGGATTTGATTGGTGGATTGGATTGAGAATTGCCACCTCTAAATATGTCAGATTCATGGATTACCGCCAAGGACAATGGCTCAAGCCCTTGCCTATGTATAGATAGGAAGTCTCATAATTCTCCTCACTTTTAATGTAACCGTACTTATCTCTCTAAAATCTCTCCTCTACGGACCCTATTCTCTACATTCCCCGCTTGCTATATCATGCGGTTGCACTGACTCGGTATTGAAGTGTAGATCAAGGGGCCATCTAACTTTCTAGTACAAATTTGCTTGAATTTTCTCCAACAACAGTAGTGGGCGACTATCCTAGATTTGTAGGAATCCACATAGTCATAGTGGACACAGATGCACCAGGAGCTAGGGTGACAGAGAAAGATGATGAGCTCGATATTCTTGAGCCAGTAAAGGTGCCCCTTGCATGCTTTGATCAACTTCCCTCAAAAACACAAGTTCCTGTGGATTGTCAAAGACAATTAGAAGGGATGATTTCTACAAGTACTAGGGTCGGGGTGCAGAGTTGAGGCACAGACTTGAGCATGTCAGTCTGCTGACACTCTTCAGCATTAGAAGAGAGACTATAGACATTTTAACTAGAGAGTTCCTTGCTACACTAGCGGTATCTCCAACAGGAAGATCTAGTAAGATTTGCATCACATATGAGTTGGTGGGACTGGGAAGGCACTTCACTAGCAGTTATGATAACTTTACTCAAAAGCTATGGATTCTTCCATATCATATTAGAGGACCTATCTTTTAGGCTAAGCTAAGAGGTTATTGGGATCAAGGTTCACAGCAAGGGATCTTTACCATTTTGTGGGGAAGGATTACAAGAAACTCAAAGGCCGAGTTTATTCCTGAATATGCTAGACCTAAAACCATTCGCCTACAATTTTTGAGGTTCGTGCATTACTTTGGCCAAAAGATTTCTCGTCCAAGAATTTCCTCCCGTCCCTCGTTCCCCCCTCTGCTCTAATTACCCTCCCCCGAATATGTGTCCAAATCCTCCTGGGCCAAACAATTCCTTTCCGAAAATTTCAGTCCAACCTTGTGTCCAATTCCCCTCAATTAATTGCCTCCGTCCCTTCCCTGGCATGTCTCGTCCCTTCTCTCCACTACAGACAAGGAAGATGGGCCAAAACATTCCAATGCTAGAGGCCAAACAACTTGGTCCAGGAAAGTGTTAAAATGCCCCCTTATGCCCTCCACCAATTTTCGTCCATTGTCCATTAGAAAACATGGAATTGCCTCCATCAATTGGGCTTGAGCCCAATGATTTGTTGTGGAAGAAACATTGATCCAATTCGTCCCCGCCATCTTCTTCCTCGGAGGGACACCTGTGCCCTTTTGTCTATTTCTTCACCTAAAATACACTAAAACTCCAACACAAGATGGTAATGGCTTTTCAGCCATTCCACATTAATTCTCTCTAAAATAACATCAATCGGTTTAAACATACCATGGGATAATCACATAAAGTTCAAGAATCAGATATATTAAAGCCGATTATCACTTACCTCACGCACGATCTCCATAGTATCCTCGATCTCTTTCCTTTTTGCATCAATTAGAGCCTCTTCTTCCTAAAACAGGCCAAATGTAAGTTATGCAAGTAGAATGTAATTCATACCATCGGTACTTTATAGTATCACACAATTATATGTGGATGTCTTTTTTTCTATTACAAAAAGTAATCATTCAAAAAATTGAAAGAATGTGCAGTAATTGTTTATGAGAAGTAGAGACATGATTGACCACATTTAGTTAATATATATAAAACAGAAGTTTGGTTACTGTTGCTAAAAAATTCACATTTTTTTACCCAAATTTAATTAAATCACAACTTAGTTATTATAAGGTACATTTTACATTTTGATACCCAAATTTAATTTTAAGGTAAAATCATTGAATAATTATGTTTCGGTATCTCATTTAGTACATTTATGTGGTACTAAACAAACTTCTACTAACTACCCAAATTTAATTAAATCACAACTTAGTCACTATAATGTAGATTTTACATTTTGATACCCCAAATTTGATTTTATTGTAAAATCATTGAAAAAATATGTTTTGGTATCTCATTTAGTACATTTATGGGGTACTAAACAAACTTCTACTAACTACCTGTAACAAAATATGCGACATCTACATAAGCAAGTGTCAATAAATTGCTACGGTGAAAAGAGTTGAATGTTGTATTGACGACTAGGGGTGGGCAAACGGTTCGGTAAACCCGAACCGAACCGAAACCGAATTAATGCTATTCGGTTCGGAATTCGGAAGGAAAATATGGATAATTCGGAAATCAAAGTTCTTTCAACCGAACCGAATTTCCGACCGAAAAACCGAAATACTATAATTGCAAGCTCCAAATGGTGGATTTTTATGTTTGTAGTTGTTTTTAAACTTAAATATTTGAAATGTTTTATGACTTATGTGTTGAAAAGTTTGGTTTTATCATTGATGATGCATATAATTGATATTTATTGTTTATATTTGGGGTGAAAAATAATTTAAAAGTGAGAAAATACAAGTAGCTTCACAAATTCGGTTTTGTGTGAAAAACTGAACCGAACCGAATTATAGTTCGGTTTAAACCGACCGAACCGAATTATAATTCGGTTCGAATTCTGTTTGAGGTTTGGGAGAATTCGGGGACCCGGTATTCATAATTTCGGTTCGGTCAAAACCAAACCGACCGAATGCCCACCCCTACTGACGACCAACTAAAAGAATCGGACAAAACCTTTTCATCATCTACTTCCTCTTCGTTTCATTTTTCACTCGCCTTCCATAACCCTTTCTTTATTTCTTTCTTTGCCTTCTTCGTCTAATCCTAATTAGGATACTATTTTTATGTATTCCAATCACAAGTATGAATTAACGAGTCCATACACGACTCACCAACAGTCTAGGGAACTAATAATTGAACCATGAACCACTAACTTTTTTTCATCTCAATGTCGAGTCCAATTAAAAATAAATATATATATGGTTATCACTTATTAGAAATTTGTCATTTTCCACTATGGGATTTGAAGGCATGAAATTCTAAGCGAGTTCCAATTTGTATTCCTTTTGCTTGTCTCTAAAGTTTTTCTTTTTCACCGGGACTAGAATTTTCAACAATTATACATTGAATGTTTGAGGGTAATAATCCCAACTCCAAAATTGAGCACCTAATTTTTTGTCTACTACATTTTGGTACCTAAACTTTTGAATTTCTACAAATAGGTATAATTTTTTTACGTGTAATTAAAACACCCCCGAATAGATGGTTATCCATAGCCAACTCATACATATTTAGATTATAGAAATAAATATTCATATCCTACCCAAACCCATCTACAAACTTCCAACCCCATATCTATGTCACCCATACTCTACCCATGATCAATAGGTCTACTTGGGTTTAGGTAAATATCATTTACTAGCCAAAATTTTCTAACAAAAATTGAATTGGATGTTGACCACTATAAATCTCTTCTCGGTCAATTTACTAACAAAATTGCTAACAAAAAATTGATTTTAAGCTAATAATACTAACAAAACACCATAACGGGCTACATAATACATGCCCATTGGTCATCTATGTACATGAAATGTAGCAAGTGTTGTAAGACACATACAAGAGATACTTTTGCACCGAGACTTCATTTGGGTGGGCTGGATACTGGAATTCAGGTTAAAGCACAGATATTTCTATATGAAGGGAATAGTGGCTTATGGAACTGGAATAAAATGTTGAAAACATGGTTGCAGACGAAAGATAACTTCATGGTTTGTAATGGTGAAGTTTTTGGAAATAATGTTGCAATGCCAAAATTTTAGATATGGGAAATGCTAAAGTCTCATAGACCTACTATGTTCTAGTTTAAACTCATCTTGACATGCAAGTATTCGCAAAAAAAAAAAAAAGATTTCTTGCTTGCCTAGATGTCTGGATCATATAAAAACATATGACAAAATGATTAAGTGGGGGTTATACTGGCGCTTTCAACTGCTTGTTGTGTACGAAAGATTTTGGAAACCAGAGACCATTTGTTTATGCACTCTAAAGTCCATCACCGGCTAATTACTAGATTCTTTGGTGTTGATATTGTTCATGGGAGATCTTGTGAAGATGAACTTCAATGGGATGTGAGGAAGTTTACAGGGAAGACTCCTTTTCCTTGGTAGGAAAGAATGTCTGGATGACATTGGTAAGTTGGATTTGGAAAGAGAGTTGTACACTTGCAAATGATGGTCGAGTAAAGGGATAGGTGGATTGTTTCAACAGGTTAAAGAGAAGTAGAAGTAATGACAACTAGAGATTGTTTTTCTCTTATTTGGTCTTCATGTTGTAAATTAGTACACTTAATTGGGTGTTACCCCTTTTAGTTCTTGTGTGGCTTGTACATGCTCTCATTTCTAGTTGACAGGGTCATTGCTAGTAATGATTCTTTATGGAATAAAATCACTCATTCATAATGAAAGTTTTTTTTACAGGAATGATATTAAGGTTAACAATATTTGCATAACATAGTTTCAGTATTCACACATCTTAAGATAATCATTATAGAAATAATATTTTTTTCTTATTGTGGAATATTCCAACCATATTATATTAATACTAAAACTATGTTATGAATATTATCGAATTTATCTCAAACATTATGTAGAAAATATTGATATTCATCTTATTATATAGAAAAATCTTTATTTGTTCAAAAAATTTGTTAAAAATAACATTTACTATCTTTAAGATAATAAACACAAAAATGTATTAGCAATGTGAATGCCTCAAATTGCTTCGAATATTATGCTATTTTTTTATTGCTAATTATACTTCTTTTTGTGTCACATTTTCTTTGTTTCTAATTATTTTTTCTTTTCCTAAGGCATGTGAACATTGCTCCTTGTTGTGGCTCACTATTTTTTTATTTTGTTAAAATTAAGGACATGGAGTTGAGAGATGGTTTTGCAATGTTTTACTTCTGTTTGTAGCTCACACTAGTCTTGTATTTTGAGTCTGCTTGGTTTCTAGTTGGATGTTTCACCTGCCTTACTAGGGGCCCTTTTTGTTTGTGAGTTTTGCAGGAGAGTTTCATAAGTCAGCCTTTCAGCACTTTGAGTTGCAGATGGAGTAAGAAAGAAAGGACGAAAGGTTCCAATGGATTGAGGGACCGCTCTCTTGTTTGTTGTTTTTACAGGCAAATGTTGGTACATCTAGATTGTTATATTTGCTGAGATTTGTTGTATTGCGGTCATCTTATAGGGCTTGATCCTTGAATTTCACCCTGGAAAGTGTGGAATTTAGGTTAGTGACCCAGCCTTTGTCGACAAGGTATCAAAGAGATACCCATATCTTGATAAAAAATTCTTTCTTATCCTTGGTTTGAGGGGCAGTCGACCAACGTCCCCTTTTTTCGGTTTGTAAATTTAGTCTAAATCATTTTCACATTCTATTTATGTTATTTTCTCTTAGAGATATCTGTGGCGAAAAAAAGGGCTTTGAATCTAATAAATGAGATTTTATAAAATTTATTATCATACACGTGGAAGAACATGACACCATTTTTGTCCATGCTAATACACCTATTATTCAATGATTAATGAACAATAGTAAAAATACTTTAACCAAACATAACAAAAGGGTTAACAATGTTTGCCTTAAACGAGATCCTAAGTTGATAACCATGTTATTTCCTCACTCTCTTAATCTTTTTAGTTCATATTCATTTTTTTCTGTCTCTGTCTCTTTCTCTCACCCTCACTCTGTCCCTTGCTCACTCACAATTTTCTCAGATTTAGTTTGATTTGATTCCATACACCAAAACATAAACACATAAATCACTTAGATTAATTATTATTGTCTTATTTTTCTAGTGTTTAGGAATAAGAAAGATGCAATCTGGCGGCTCTGATTCACAGCATCCCAAGCAGCATGAACAACAACGACAACCACCACCTCCTCCTCCTCCTCCACTACCGCCACCGCCACCGCACTCGACACCGTGGGTCCCGATGCAGTATCCAACAACAGCAATGGTAATGCCTCAGCCTCACCAAATGTTGTCACCTCATCAGCATTACGCTTTACACCCACCGCCTCCCCAACACTATATGGCTGCCACCGCTTACCACCACCAGTACCACCACCATCCCGCAGCCATTGCCTCCCCAATCCACCACCACCACCTTCACCAGCATAGCAACCACGTGGGTGGATCTGTAGCCGATAACAAGACCGTCTGGATCGGGGATTTGCATAACTGGATGGATGAGAATTACCTCCACACTTGTTTCGCTTCCACCGGCGAGGTATCCCAATCTAATCTCATTTTAATTAATATCTCTCCATTACTTCCATTTTTGGTTTAATCATTGTAAAGATCGAAACTTTATGCCAAAAATGGCATGTTTTGTTTCCCTGTTTTCATGCTCTAACGCTAAGACATTTCTTGTTCATGGCCCTGTAATTCGACTCATTAGTTAATTGAGATCGTTTGAATAAAAGAACCATGGGATTTCTTTGGGTATAGAGGGTAGGCTTTCCTAGTTTCCTTTTTTGGATAGTTCAGTGCGATGTAGTATAAAAAGTCTATGACAGTGGTTTTGGTGTTTTAAACTATGGTAGGGTATACTAATTCAGAGACCCATCTTTTCTATGTTTTCAGCGTAGTTTGGAACAATTAATGTGCTAGTGAGATTGGTGAACTGTGCTATCTGATTTCTTACATGCAGATTGAGTGATTGTGCAAACAAACTTTTGTAACTCTTTATCATTAGTTGGTTGTTGCTAGTAACTAGTATGCTAGTTATTTGACATCATGTTCATTGCTTTGTTTTTTTTCTAGATTGCTTCCATTAAGGTGATTAGGAATAAACAAACTGGTTTATCTGAAGGGTATGGATTTGTCGAGTTTTTCACACACGGGACAGCTGAGAAAGTTCTACAAAATTATACCGGCATTTTGATGCCTAATACGGACCAACACTTCCGTCTTAATTGGGCAACATTTAGCACGGGCGACAAGCGATCAGATAATGCTCCCGATCTTTCTATTTTTGTAGGCGACTTAGCTGCAGATGTTACTGACAGTTTGTTGCATGACACTTTTGCCAATAGATATTCGTCGGTTAAAGCTGCCAAAGTTGTGTTTGATGCCAACACTGGCCGTTCAAAAGGTTACGGTTTTGTTAGGTTTGGAGATGATAGTGAGAGAACACAAGCAATGACTGAAATGAATGGAGTGTATTGTTCAAGTAGGGCCATGCGTATTGGTGCTGCAACTCCTCGCAAATCTTCTGGATATCAACAACAAGGTATCATGTTATTTTGTCGACTGCAGATGGCAAAATTGATGTTTTGTAGTCTATATAGTGCTTGTTATTTCCTTTTTTAGTATGTGCATATTGCTTCTCGTTCCTCCCCAATTTGTCCATTTGTCTTCTAATGTCTTCAAACACTAAACCACGTCTTCTCCCTCCTAGGTGGATATATATCAAATGGCTCCTCCATCCCAACTTTTCAATCTGAAAATGATTCCACAAATACAACTGTGAGTATTGTAACTTCATGTGTTCACAACGAAAGTTCTTGTTACTACCATTTTATGCAGAGGACATTTTCTATGTCTGCAGATATTTGTAGGAGGGCTTGATCCCAATGTCACTGATGAGGATCTGAAGCAGACTTTCACTCAACATGGTGAGATAGTCTCAGTCAAAATACCTGTTGGTAAAGGATGTGGCTTTGTACAATTCGCTAGTAGGTAAGTAAGGGGAAAAAATCATTCTATTACCACTTGCATCATGCTTCAAACCTTAAGACATGCATAAGCTTTTAGTATATATGAAGTTGCTCATATTCTCTATTTCTGATCTCCATAGGAGCAATGCTGAGGAAGCATTGCAAAAGTTGAATGGCACGATCATAGGCAAGCAAACAGTTCGCCTCTCGTGGGGCCGCAATCCAGCAAACAAGCAGGTAATTAATATGCCCATACCCATCATCCTTTCTTGAAATTGAAATCCTTCTATGGATGTTCATGTTTCATTAAGTGGTAGTTTTGGAAATTGCAGTTCAGGGTAGATTTTGGGAACCAGTGGAGTGGGGCCTACTACGGAGGCCAAGTTTACGACGGATATGGATACGTCATGCAATCGCCTCATGATCCAAGGATGTACGCAACAACAGCTGCATACGGGGCATACCCTCTGTTTGGCAGCCATCAACAACAAGTAAGCTGAGACAAAATGAAATAAGACGAAAGGAGATCTTCTTCCAAATTGGTGCTTCATCGTGGTTTCAAAGAATAATAACAAGTAGGTCTCTGTGGCTGACCATGTTAGATGATGTTAGGATAAGAAGAAAACAAACAAGAAGAGGCTTAATGTGGTCTCAGTTGCTTGGTCACTCCTAGGCCCTAGCTAGCTAGTTATTGGTAATGGTAGAACTTGTTTTGGTGATAAAAGTTCAGTCCTCTATAGTTTGGGGATTGGAATCGAATTTTTTTAGCTGTAGGGAGGCAATAGATTGATTGGTTATTATTTATTCAGATTATTGGGGTAGTGATTTGAAGATAGGCCTTCTCTCTTGAAATCTTATGTGGGCTACTGCATTCATCCATGGTTTAGCTAATAAAACATTGTCCTTAAGTGTATGATATGAGCATTGAGAAGCCTCCATCCTAGTGTAAGTGTTCAATTCTCATTTAGAAATTGATCATACCACCACTACTTGATCTACATCATGCATCATTAACACCATAAGACATTGTGAGATCCTATCGTACATGAGTTAGTAATGTGTATTTATTGCTAATTTAGAGGCGGGCACTGTATAATACATTATCAAATATTGTACGTCGTTGTAGTTATTGTTACATTCCCATGCTAGAAAGTCAGTGTTCCCAAGGCTAAAATGAGGAGTGCTTCACAATTCATAATAAAAAGGTTGGAACTCTTTTTTACAAAATGGTGATTTAGTTTTATTAACTTAATAAACAAAATGAAAAGATCAATACGAGAAAAGAATTTAAAGGGTGCAAGACACACAGCAACCTAGCCTTAGGCGGAGGAAAAAGAAAGGAGAAACTAATAGCTTATACACATGGAGGCCCAAACCGGTAGCATGATATAGCAAAAGGAAAGAAACACTTGGTTAAGCTGCCAAACAACATAGAGAGCTAGCTAGTAATGAGTCATGACATTGCAAACACGATGAAGCAAGAACAAACCAATAAAAGTTGCAGACGCGCGAGCGAAATTCTTATGTGTGGCAGGCACTGGCAGCCAGCAGTAGAAGCCCCTGAAGTGGAAGGCATCACTACTCTACTCTGCTACACAGGGATGGACAATAGCTCCCTCTTCAATGAAAACAAAATTCTCAAAGATTTGGTTATTTCTCATATATATAATTAAAATAATTAATTAATAAACAACTTTTTGATATACACAAATTGCCCAAAGATTACTACCCAAAGTTAGTCACCTAATCCAGGCCCTCCATTTCTCTCAAATCTTTCATCTTTCTAAAAAGTAACCCATAATACTTTCGTTGGTTCAAATTCATTAATTAACAGAAACATCATCAAAAGGCGAAAGTCCAAAACCAGAAGAGCCCCAATGAGTAGGGAGATGGACATTGGCCATCTCATAACACAGAGTCACAGACCCATCACTAACACCCATTTCGGTCCATTTCCATCAAATTTTGCCTTGAACACATTGTTGCTAATCTGTTTGGTATATGTTAAGAACTAATTAATTTGATAATTAGTGATTAATCACTAAGTAAGATATGCTTATATATAATTTTTATTGATTAATTCCATATTTTTAGTTTGATTAGCAATTAGTTGGAGGTTAACCACTAACTAATAACAAAGGCGGCTTCGTAAATTATTTTTTAATTTTTTTTATTAGCAATTAGTTTCTTAAATTATTTTTTAATTTTTTGGTACCCTTTTAATAATAAAATGGACCTAAGGAATTGGCTTCGTAACCATAAGAATTAACATTAATACAATACATCATCTATATTGAATTCATAATCCAAATCTAAATTCCATATTAAAATAGTTAAACTTCTTCAACCAATTAACGAGTACCAAATAACTAGACAACAGAAAAAAAACACCAAAAGAACATAATCGTTCACAAATATTAAAAAAATAATACAAAGACTGCTTGGGAATGAGGTTCTCTCCTTCCACTGATCCAAAGGGGATCTAGAGAGAGGGACAATTTTCGGATTCTGACTCTTTGACACATTTAGGAATTGAGAGTTTTGGTGTAGCTTTTTTTTTGCGATAGGTAGTAATTAGGATGTTTTGAATTGCGATTTTGGCTGGTCTTGAATCTTAATACTGTCTCACTTAATCAAGACGATTATCAGTTAACCACTAAATAAAATCAGCTTAATCATAGTCAAATTACTAAGCAATTATTGATTATCGGTTAACCACTAACCATTGTTATAGATTTAATTATTGATTTTAGTCCATAAGCAACTAACCGTTTGCCTGACCTATGTAGTTGAAGAGCAGCTGCTTTTTGGGGTTTTCTTTCTAAAAAAGAATCAAAAGGTTGCACTAAGTCTAGTGAAAGAGAAAAAAAAAGTCTGGTGCCCTTTCGTGGGCCAAAAGGGGCAATGGATATTCTAATTCACATTCCTCGTGGAGCTAACTAGCGTAGGGCCCGGCCTATTGGCCGGGTTTGTCCGACCATCATCAAATCAATAATGTTTATTTTGTGAGAATTTAATAACTTCAATTTTGATATTTATTATTGTATGAGTCTTGTGTAAAAGAACTAATATGGGTTCTCATGAGCAATGAATTATATACTATTAACATTTCTGCATCTCAAATTATTGTATTTCTAAATCAAGTTATATATCATTCTCTTGAGTGTTTCATCTAATTAATTGTATTCTAACTGACATAAAAATGCCAAAAAATATCTTAAAGATCACTTGCCAAGTCAATTGACCAAAATATTTAGATGCCATGATCTTCATTTACTTTCATAAGATTTATAGTTAAAGCTTAATTTAGGGAGCACTTCTACTATGCTATATAGTATTGGTGCTTTAATGTACAACTTAAAGTTGTACCATAACATTAAATGTATAAGTTTAGGTTGTACCATAAAGCAATTTGTACCATTATGTTATGGTACAACTTTACAACTTAAAGTTGTACCATCACATAAAAGTACAAGTTCAAGTTGTACCATAAAAGAATTTGTACAAAAAGTATAGGTACAATCTGAAGTTGTACCATAACGTAAATGTACAATTTTAAGTTGTACCATAAAGGCAAAATCCTATAGCACCAATACTATATAGCATTGTAAAATTTCTCTAATTTAGGGGGACACAATTTTAGTTCTTTCAATGCTTAACACACAGAGAGCTTGAAACCGTTAAAAGACCTGAAAGCATACATTTTGGATTTCACATACTCAAAGGAACTAATATAACCAAGTATTAGATCAACATGTGGGCTCACTATATCCATAATCGACTAATATTGAATTAATCAGTAATCATTGAATTCAAAATCGATCAAATTATTTCACAATTATAATCTCCTGTAGTCATTCAAAATAACAAATCCAACAATTTTAATCACGTGAGATCAATATTAAAAACAATAATAGTGTCGCACAAATTAAAATTGGGATTAACAATTACATTAGTACGCACATATCAATAGTAAAATATACAAACAAAATCCAAACAAATATATGCTCGAGCTAACTGATCCTGTAGGAAAAAATTGACTCTTATACTTGAAAGTATCTGCTAATATGTTTTAACATAATTTTAAATGTGCTTTCATATTCTTTCATCCCGATTAAATTTTAATTTTAGGTTTTAATAATCGAGACATTTGTCAAACTACATATGAGGTTTGAGTGATTGAGATGGTTATTAAACCGGTGGCAGAACCGCCGGTAGAATCATGTTGAACCGATATCGAACATAAAAGTGTATGGAATACTCCCGGGTATGACCAAGATGCTCAAATTTAATTAATATTGTTTTGTGTTTTATTTTATGAACTTGAAAGTGAAATGTTGATGTAATTTGTTGGAATCAAGTATAAATGTTGAGTGTTGAGGTTAAATATTGTATTGAAATATGATTATGTTATTTTGTTTGAAATGTTGTATTTTATTTAATATGAATGTAGATTGTAAGGAGATAGCCTTAATTTTATTTATATATATATGCTTAAATTCATATAATATTAATGGATTTTTACATTTTCTACATATTTTATTAAACCGACATTAACCGACAAATATTGATTCTGCCCTAAATATATCATAACACTTACTAAACCGCACACCAATATAAACTCAATTGACAACTTTGATTAACTAATTCCGAAGGCACCAAAATAAATTAGTAAGGAATTTTCAAATAACATGTCTGCTGCATAGAGATCATTATCTGCAAACATATAATTGAATGCATAATACTCTTTGAGCTAATGGTAAAGCCCAAATATACGGATTCAGATGAAAACATATAATTAAACAATAAAGAAAAGAAGAAGAAAAAAAAACTCAATAGCAAGAGAAAGAGCATGTAATAAGTAATGGCTTAGTAGACGCAAAACAATTAAAAATAAGATAGCGAAAAAACAGATGAAAGTACCGGAAAATCCAAATTGTGAAAGTACCCATCCACCCCTCCGATTTATGCGTTTTGGCGAGGAAAAGCTGAGGTGGCAAAGCTGAAATATTGACATACACTTATATATATGTATGTGTAGATAATTTAAGCTTAGTTAGGCCCTCTCAGTTCCCCAGTTTCTTGTAGTGGAATTGTGCTGGATGGCTATTGGCTAGACTCGTTGGCTCCCCATCTTTCCCAGCTTCAAAACGATTTAAAAAGCCATCAGTACCAGCGATTGGCTAGGGATGACAATTTTGACCTGACCAGTTTTACCCGACTTGTTTGACCTGATTTGGGGCGGATCCGACTCGGCCCGTAGGCGGGACGGGGCGGGCATGGGTACTTCCCATCGACCTGACCTGCTCCGACCCACCCCATTCTTGACCCGTTCTTTCATAAATTACATGTAATTTTAGTCAAATTATTTAGGATTTCCTTTTATTAGCTCATATTTTAGCTGTAATAAACTTGTAAATAAGTGAAACCTTAATTTCTCCAATAATTTAACTACATTTCATCATATTATGGTTTCTTTCTTGGTATTTTAATGAAAATAATGAATATTTAGATACCCATTGGGTCGACTTGCCCCGACCCACGCCCCGTGATAAAATACTCGACCTGCCACAGGACGGGTATGGATATCGAGATACCCGCCCCAAACCTGTCTCATTGTCATTCCTAGTCTTTCTGTTCTGTTAGGTTTTCAGCCCCGTGTTGGTTGAGAACTCTGGGGGCAATCAACACATGGCAGCTGGTAGTGTGATAGCATGATGGCCTTTTGGGTTGCAGTTTTGCTTTCTGCCTCGAGATCTGAGCTATCGCACAAGTACACGTATAAATCTGTCCACTTAGGTAGTTAGGTTTGAAGGGGTTGTAATTAAGGGGATCCAATTATGTATCTTATTAATATACAATTCTCTCAAATGAAAAGTTTCCGTGTGGTATGTTAATATTTAAATTAATGGTTAAGTGTATTCAAAGTTGTGATTTAAGATTTAAATTAAAACGGATGGATGAAAATTTAAATTTAATCCATCTAATATACAATTCTCTCAAATGAAAGTTTTTGTAGGAACAAAAAATGATTAAGATTCAAATATGAAGCTCGTCTGTTCAAAAAATACTATTTCTCACCTAGATCATTTATATTATTCCCGCTTTGGGTTTCTTTCACCTCAACATCTACCGTTATGTTTATTATGTCCCCTCTACCGGTGAATCAAGCTAGGGTTTGGATTGAGTTGTTTATGTAAGGTTTCTAAATTCTAAGGGAGTTCATATGGTTAATTTTAGATGAGATGACAATAACGTGTTCAATTTGACTAGATAAATAAATAGAGATGGACGTAATGCTCAATTTTTTTATTCATGGAATGCTGGACAGAATGATCACTTTGGTATTCGTCTAAACATATTTTATTAAAAACATAAAAAATTAAACTTTGGTGATCGTATTGTACAAAGTGATAAAATTATGTAACCGTTTATGATAATTGTCCATACAGTAACCATCGCAACCAAATTATCACCCAAACCAAATCAACTTAGTCTATCATTTAAGTACCATTAAAGTTAAATGACCATTACTAATTAAATCTGACTCCTAAAGCTAGCCAGCTCAACTGGCTCAGATTGGCCACGGCTGGTCAGCTCCAGCTGTCAAGTGTTGTGTGATTGGGCACACCACCATTATGTTGGGATGCAAAATGCCTTCACTCACCGACGGGTGTACCAAATCACTCTTCGGTTCGGTCGGCGTTCCTTCAGCAAATTTAGTGCCCTAATTTATTTAATCCCGTCCGATTTTCTTTTCCCATAAGATAATCCCATCCGATTAAACAACTAGTTATTAATGTTAATCATGATTCATGATCATGATTTCTTTTTTCGTTTTGGTGGAAAGATAGTCATTTTTTCTAGTTTCGGCAAGGAAACTATCAATCAGCTCTTCCTCCTCCCCCTCTCTCATCCTCTCTCCGGCCAACACGTCAATGGCGACTCTGTTCCTCTGCTGCTCATCTTCTTCCCTCTCACTCATTCAGTCTCCGCCTTCCGCTTCTTTCGGCCGCCGGAGCTGTTCCCCCTGCTGTATCGGCATCGGAGCTTCTTCCTCTTCCTATTCGCCTTCCACATCCGCTTCATGTTCTGCTTCGTCCAGCGCCAAACCCAAGGTCGTCGTCACCAGAGAGCGTGGCAAGAACGGGAAGCTCATCAATGCTCTGGTAAGCCGCTCCTCTCTTCTAATTGCCTTCTTCTTCTTCGAATCAGATTCGTTTTCCCCTCCCATTAGCAATTCGGTGGTTTTCTCGCTTCGCGAATCTTGTTTTGCACGTGGGGGTGGAATTCTGTTGATATTGTAATGCAACTTGTTCTTTAGCTTGAACAGTTCCTCCTAATTAAACAAATGGTTACGAGGTCTTTGCTTTTTTTGGCGGTTTCATCTGTGAAATTTGCAATTAGTCTCCTTGTAAACTGGAAAATGCGAATTGCAGCTGCAATAGGCGGTGTCAGTTGGCACTGGATTTGAAACGAATTGAAATTGATTTGTTGAGTAGGGGCATGAGGATTGTCTTTGCTCCTGGTACTTGCTGTATGTACAAATATGCAAATTGCTTCTGATTTTAGCAGACAGCAGTTGTTGCAAGAAATGGAAACTGAGATGAGAAATGTGTTTGGTTTGAATTAGGGAAAACAAGGGATCAGTGTACTGGAGCTTCCTTTGATTCAGCATACGGAAGGGCCTGATTCGAATAAACTGTCATCTCTGCTGCGAGGTACATTTTATTGTATGATTTAGTGATTGGTGCTGCGCCTGATGAACCTGTGGCAACAAATATTCACTACCCTTTGTTACTTGCTTTCTGCAGATGTAATATTTGATTGGATCATCATAACGTCTCCTGAAGCGGGCTCAGTCTTTCTGGAGGCGTGGAAGTAAGTATGTGAATTCTATGACGATAAATTGTCCTGTTGCATGGATAAGTCAATTGCCCAAATACTGGTATCTGCTTTCACAAGTTTCTTCTGTTAGAACGTTGAACTTATCTTGAATTTTGGTCCTTAGGGAAGCAGGAACCCCAAAGGTTAAGATAGCTGTCGTGGGTGCTGGTACAGCCAGCATTTTTGAAGGAGTGATCCAATCTTCAAACCAATTACTCGACATTGCTTTCTCACCATCAAAAGGTTCGGAGTGGATAGTAGTTCTGTTGGGTACATGAAACTTGCACATGCATTGTATCCTCATTGTACATCATTTAGTCAAGGGAATCTTTTATCAGCAATGATGAACATATGCTACAATTATTTCCTGGTGTAATATTATGGAATTAGTTCTGATTCATTGTAGCACTAGGGTCTGCAAACATGCATCAATTCTACCTCTCTCATCCATTCAACTTGATCTACCAATTGCTTATTCACATCTGTTGATTCAACTCCCACACAGCTTTGACAAGGTTTGGACAAGCATTTTATTTAAGTTTTTTGTCAATGATGTGTAACATCAGTTGGAAAATACGGCTCTAATGATCAAGCAAGCTTCTGATAGTTCTCAAGAAGTGCTTGAATTCCTGCTTCTGAGTGATTTTTTTCTTCTAAAGTATATGGCTAAGTCGACTTCCTTTCTCTTATACTTTTTATTGTCTCTTACCTTTCTTCAGCAACGGGTAAAGTTCTGGCAGCAGAGCTCCCTGACTGTGGAAACGGAAGGTGCACTGTCTTGTATCCAGCCTCTGCTAAAGCTAGCACTGAGATTCGTGAGTATGATCACTCTCATGACACCACATTCATAATGTCTCTTGTATTCAGAAAGCTTACTTACACAATGTGTAGTGAACTTCAGAGACTTGATTGATCTTGTCTCTCTGAATTAGTGGAAGTAAATCAAGGGGGTCAGTAGTCAAACCTTAACCAAATTTTATCCAGAAGGTATAGCATGGTAGTTGAAGTTAATATGTGTCACCTCTGAGGTGCACTTGAAGAGATTTTGACCTGAATGAACTTGGACTGTATCTCGAACAGAAGACCCTTGCTCTCTTCCCAATTAATGTTGTTGGTCGCAGTCTGTTGTTTTTGGATCCCAACCATTGCATATTGGTGATGAGTTGATATTTCCTACTGAATTCTCACATTGGCTGAGGAAATCATATGTAGTAGATACTAGCTAGACTTCCTCTGTATCTCAGTTAACATCCATGAGTTTGTCCTCCTCAAATTGTAATTCATTTGTGAATCTGAAGATGAGTGACTGCTGATATGTTATTCTTCAATCTTTCAGAGGAAGGCTTGTCAAACCGTGGATTTGAGGTTGTTAGATTGAATACATATACAACGGTGAGCACTTTGATGACACTGTAAGGAAATTTCATGGTGTATTGTCATTGATTGTTCTGGTTCATTGCCATCATTGTGTCTTTTTTTCGTGAAATTTCTACCTTAGCTTTCTGTAAAAGGACTCCAACTTTTCAAAATTGAACATTATATCTCCTCCAACCTTTTGACGATCTGATGGTGCAGGAAGTGTTATTCTCCATTTCCTTACCCAGCTACTTAACAAAATTATCCCTCTTTTTTCGCAATCTTGTGGCTTCAGATTCCTGTAGATCATGTGGATCCAACAGTTCTTACGGAGGCACTCTCTGTTCCTGTAGTCGCAGTTGCTTCACCTTCTGCAATTCGGTAAGCACGCTAAATTTCTTGGGAACATCAAGTCCGCTATCATCTTTTAACTGAGCTATTGGGTTATGATGCTCTTCCATACGTTTCTTTTCCTCCTAAGAACACATTCTCAGTTGATATCCATTGAATGTAACAGTGCGTGGCTCAAACTCGTTTCTTCGGAATCAGGGCATTGGGACAACTCTGTAGCCTGTATCGGTGAGACTACAGCATCAGCTGCAAAAAGGTTAGGTTTCAAGAACGTCTACTACCCAGCACAGCCTGGTCTGGAAGGGTAAATTCCAACTCTTAACTCTCCCCCATCACCAACTCTCTGCTTCTTAGAGATGGGATTCCAGTTCAGTAGCTGTCTAAAGTTCCCTAGTGTTGTTTGAGTTCAGGTGGGTAGGCAGTATCGTGGAAGCATTGAGGGCACACGAAAAGTCCGAGAAAAAGCTGGAAGTGTCGTAGGTATATAGCTCTACTCGGTTTGACCTTCAAAAATCCAAGAGTCAAGAATGCACAAAATGATCGACATTTCTGAAACAGAACTCTCAAGTTTGGTCTCAGCCCGGTTTGACCGAATCCACCGGGACATCTCAAAACAGTGAGGTGTTATGTGTATGCTTTCCAGAAATCAACTCCAAGGGACCAACAACACGCAATAGTTTGTAGCGCTCTTGCATTGGGGCGAGAGGAGGTAGTTCTTGATAGGCAAAGAAAGGACTGAACCTCTATCCTTGACGTCTTTCAATTGTGCAAGTTGTAATTATGTTTGAAAATATTGATTTTTCATTGTAATTGGGCTAGAGAATCGATAGCTTTATCAATTTAAATCTTAGTTATTGTGCATGTGTATGGTTGGATCTATTGGATTCTTTTATTTGATGGAGTTCACATACGGATTCCACTGCTCAATTTCTTTGTGCAAAAGACTTGTTTTAAATGGCATGTAACCCCAACTTTTTAGTGGACGAAATTTTATGCATTAGACAATCAGAAATCGTCAACAAATTGTGTTTGTGTTTAGGGTTTTGGGAAATCAAGAGTGAGTGGAACGCATGGATTTGTACAAGATATATTGATGAACATGATGGTTAGCGTGGTGATCATGATGTAGCTGACAATGGTTGATCGACTGGGGAAAAGAAAATGAACATCGGCGGGAGGAATGGTTATAAAAGATCATAGTGGGTTGATTGTCTTGGTTAAGGGAGTTCAGATTAGTTTTTGAAATTTAAGAGATTATTATTGATAATGTCATTGTTGGATCTAGTATTAACCCGTCTAATACGGGCCCAAGCCCACCACAAAGCGTCTTACCTTGGGCCAAGCCCATTTTAGGGTCCAGTACACCGGGAGGCGTCCAGTTCACACGGGGGGCATCCATCACCGGGAGGCGTCCAGCCTACCGGGGGCGTCCACCACCGGGAGGCGTCTCATCGGAAGGCGTCCATCGACGGGAGGCTTCTATAGGATGCCTCCGACTCCTATATAAGGAGGCCAGACCCCTCCAAGCAAGGGGGACTTCTCTCCCTTCCCACATCCTACCACTTATGGTTCTCTCTCTAAACCCTATCTCTCTCTACATTCTCTACCCTCTATCATATATCCTATTCTAACTTGACCGTCGGAGTGTAGATCTCGGGGGCCGCCCCCGACTCTCCACAAGATTCTTCCACTCCCGAGGAGATCAGACGAGAGAGTCCGAATCAAGGTTCCACACAAATCCCCCGGTACTAATCCGGGTCAAACAGTTATTCTTTTCTTCTTATTCTATAATCTATAAGCCCTAATCAAGACTTTATAGTCCACATGCACACAACCCTTACCACTGAGTTAAGTGGCTAATTACTGTTCAACCAACACAAATAACATATTTAGTTATTTACAATAAGACCCCATATACATATGTCAATACGTCTTTCCGGTGCTATTTGTTGAAGAAAGAATAAAGGTGTATTGATTATGATTCGGGATAGTGCAAGGGGTAGTCTAGCAATGAGGATCAATCGTGTCTCCCCAAGGGAAGCCATCGACGAGATCGGTTGAAGAATACCTGATCAGTTTTTTTCAATGTTGTCATAACTGAACTGGAGTATGAACGGTAACGGTATAGTAAACGGTTCACACTTTATTGGTTTAACTGGCATTGAACTGTTAAAAACTCGTTAACGAACCGATTCCTCATAAATAAGAACATACTAAATAGCATTCTTAATCTATATGCATATGAATGTTAAACAATGATTATAAAAAAAAGGAAATCCATATCTATCAATGTTATACCAAAAAAAAAAAAAAACAAACTCTAAACTCTTAAATAAACTCAAATTGTAACAAATGAACTCACAAAAAGAGTGAGTGTCATGTTGTAATTGGCCAAGAAGTGGTTGTCTATCCATTGGACATAGTATGGGTACGAATTGGTACTTAGATAAATGGATGTCTTTTTTGATATATATTATTATTATTCCTCCGAAATTGCTCCACTTAAATGATGAAATTTCAAACCCCCTAAAGGTGACCAATTGACCATACGGCCATACAAGGTCCAAATTCAAAATTGGGCCCATCCTAGGGCTCAAGGCCCATTATTATTACTCCTGCAACAGGGGCGGAGCCAGCACATGGGCTGGGTTATAAATACCGCTGGGAAGGCCTAAGAGATACAGGACTTGCAGTGTAGTCACTAGTCAGATATGTTGAGCACTCTGATAAGGTGATGAATGCAGGTTTGTGTAAAGATCTTTGATGGAGGAATCTGGCGAAGGAGATGAATTACAGGGGAAAGAGAGGAATTACAGAAGAATTGAGAAGAATTGAGTCTACAGAACTAGAGCTAAAGCTGAAGGGAAAGTAGCTAAGGCTGAATAGGAGAAACTAGATGTGTGTTTACATTTTCGTCCAAAGATACTCAATAACAGGAGGCTCTAGCTATTTATAGTTTGGGTTGGGTTGTTACAGAACCCATCTCCTTCAAACACAGCTTGTCCTCAAGCTGTTCTTCAGACTGGAAAGGAGGGAAATTGCAGCTTGAAGATGGACAATCTTCCCATGTAGCAGCCGATGGAATCCAAAGTGTCCATAGCACCCAAAAAGCAGTAGCATTAACAGGAAAAAGTGACAAAATGTCTCAATGCTGCAGATGCCCGCGAGAGGAGAACCGAACCCCAACAAAGACCGCTGCCTACCAAACATGGATATGTAGAGAAACAAGAATTCTCTCCAAGTTGCTAACAAGGACAAGTAGCTGCAGCACCCCTCATACCAGCAAAACAACACAACCACACCTAGAGGGTTGTTCAAGTAGCCTCCCTCTATGGCCTTCTTTCGTCGAACTCCTACGACTGATGCTGCCACCATCATGCATAGGTACGATGCCACTAGGACGAGCCCCATCCTGAGTTTTGTACTAAGCTTGACTGGTCTCCCGCATAGTTTCAAAACAAGAGGAAGAAGAGCTCGATTGTAGAGGACGACCCATATGATTAAGGTTACGACTAAGAACATGGAGTATGAAGCTGCTGGGATGGTGAACCCTGAAATCAAGTGACTGTTCATGGAACTAGCTTGGATAACTGGAAATGAAGTCTGGCTAGTGCTTATGGAGAGCATGATTCCACTAGACCATATGGGGAAGACCTTGATGAGTGCTTTCATCCCTTCTACTTGCTGCACTGTGCATAGGTTCCAATGATTTGTTGTTGTTCCATCTGGGGATATGTCGATTGCTGGGTCGATCACTATGCAGGCCATGTTCAAGAACCTTAGTTTCTTGGAAGGGGTCAGAAGGTTTGAATCTCTGCCCACATGGTACCTTCCACCAATGTTTCCAGATGGGAAAGAGAGTTTCCTGCTCTTGTAAGCAAGCAAAGCTACCTGAGCAAAACCTGTGAGCAAACTCGTGCTAGTATTATGCTTCACATACAATGGGGAAGCCATAAAGAAGAATAAGGCTGAGAGAAGCATCAGGATAGCTGGAACTCCGAAGCCAACTCGCCATCCCAGGTGGTCTTGAATGTAGACAATGGCGGTGAGGGCAATCAAGACTACAAGTGCAGTGGAAGCATAGTACCAACCAAAGAAGGTCTCAAGGATCCTCTTGTTCTTGGCAGGGTTGGCTCTATTGTCAACTTGATCTGCTATTGGAGTCGTGCTGCAGATTGAAAGGGTGGTTGTTGTGGGCACTGTGGTGGCTTTGCTTGAGGGAGCATTGTTGTTAGCTATAGTAAGATTGTTCCCTGTCTAGAGTCTCGCGCCAGGATCTTAATCAAACCCATAAGCTGCTTGAACACCAATGCTTTGGAAAGCCAAGCTGTGTAGGATCCTTCCTAGCTACGAACAGAGCCTCTCCTCTTACAAACCCAAGAGTAACACGTACAACTTACCACACCAGAATTTGAGGCCTCCCTTGAGTGCACAATGAAATTCCCAGGCCGAGACGTACAAACAATTGATCGAAAATCACAATCTTTATAAGGGCCTTTGAAATCATCATGATTCCTACTGCCATGGAAATGCCTAAGGATGCCATAGAAAGTTGGGAAGATGCGAAACTCGTAACCCCAATTGGCATTGCCGGACTCGATAATGCAACCAAAGATCCCAAACACAAACTCAGTAGGACAAGGATCACCAAAAATGAAAGCTGCCTCTTCAACAGTAAGAATCTGATCAATGGCTACGACAGAAATCATCTTCTGGTTAAGAGTATCAGTGAGATTGAGAACCCCTAAGAAAGAAGCGTTATGTGGAAAGTCTAGGGTGCGAACCCCTGAAGGAGAAGAGACTGGGGTTTTGGCAGTTTGAGAACCACATGAAACTGTCCGAACAAAAGGCAACCGAGTAGAAGGCGTATCCAGAAAATTCAAGCATGGAGCTGGCCCGAGTAAAGGAAACGAGGAAGAAGTGGCTTGAGTATGAACCTGGGAGTCTCCCACTAACCAAGTTTGCTCGGAAATCAACAAAGGGAGGAACGACGGCTGCTGAAGCTGATTGCACGCCGCGACGACAGTCATATGCTCTTGACTCCCAAACCGAAGAAGCAACCCATTGACAAAATCACCCCAAAGCAAAGGAAAACGCCGGAAAGACCAGCCTTCTAACCATATGTGAGCTCTCCCTTCCAGATAGGACGAAATCAAATTGACCTTCTGATCTTCTGGAATTGAGTAAAGCAGGAAGAGTTCGTTACATTTTCTCACCCACACATGAGGATCTGAACCAGATAAATAGGGCAACTCAAGACGATGATAGGGATCCACAATTGGCGGTCAACGCAACTAATGCCGGAAGTGGTGATGATCAGGGCGATGATCGTAATTGTTACGCGGTGGTGAGTGAATCGGTGAAGTCGCCTGAGTTCGCATCAAAGAAGCAGTGAGGGTGGTCGAGTCAGATTGCCCAGAGAAGTGGAAGAAGGCACCCGCTCATGATGATCCAGAATCAACGACCGACGCGGTGGCATACTGAACTGCTGTGGATCGGCGAACCGAGTGCAAGTCGTGTGCCATGGAGAACAGAACGGAGAATTGTCCCGCCAGCTCTCCAATGAAGCAGTCAGGGCGTCGATGTCAGCCTTCGTCGAAGCCGCAAGAGTAGCAATGGAGGCCTTCAGATCCCGGTGGCGTGAGTCCATCTGCTGCTTGATGGCCGCCATTTGAGTTTCCAAAACAAGGATTCGTGTGGTGTTGATAGCCATTGCCAGATTACAGGCTCTGAATACCACTTGTAAAGATCTTTGATGGAGGAATCTGGCGAAGGAGATGAATTACAGGGGAAAGAGAGGAATTACAGAAGCAATGGAGAAGAATTGAGTCTACAGAACTAGAGCTAAAGCTGAAGGGAAAGTAGCTAAGGCTGAATAGGAGAAACTAGCTGTGTGTTTACATTTTCGTCCAAAGATAATCAATAACAGGTGGCTCTGGCTATTTATAGTTTGGGTTGGGTTGTTACAGTTTGATTCCCTCCCTCCTTTTGGGAAAAGTTAATATGCTAACTTGAAGATTGTTAGAAGATACTAACTGATATCCAAAATATATGAACTAGTATCCAAGTATTAAAGTATCTAGAGAGCACAGACTAGTATTCAAAGTTTGCTAACTGATATCCACCATGAATCAACTATTATTCCAAATTCACAAACTAATGTCTAGACAACACAAAATAGTATCCATATAGCACATAATTAGTATCTAGATAACATATAAGAGTATCCATATTGAATACTAGTTGGTTGTTTGTGGATATTAGTTGGTATCTGCTATCTGGATACTAGTTTGTGATGTTTTGAATACTAGTCTGTGCTATCTAGATACTCAACAAACTTGGATATTAGTTCATACATTTTGGATATTAGTTAGTATATACTAACGAATCTTCTAGTTAGCAGAATAACTAGGCTTCCCTCCCTTGTATTGAACAATTAAAGTTTTGTGTCCAATTTATATTCATTTTGTGTTTCGTTTTCGATTCCCCTCTCTTGTATTGAATAATTAAGTTTTTGTGTCGAATAACATTAGGTTTCTATTCATTTTGTGTTTTGTTTTCACATAAAATTTTCACATTTTTTGTACCTAATAACATCAGGTTTATGTTCATTTTGTGTTTTGTTTGCACATGATTTATGTGTGTAAATTAATTGAGTATGCGGAAGATTGATGAATGTGGATGCTAATGTGTTTCATCATTATTCCAGAATTGCAGTTGTAATTGATAATACATGATATTCGTGGGATCTACGAAATATTCTCTACTATCATATACCAACATATGAGAAGGGAAAGAAAATGAAAAGCTCTTCACTTACTTTTTTTTTTGTTAATTGAAGCATATTTTATTCGAACTTCTTCGTTTGTGGCCTTAAATTTTTTAAATTCTTTATCACTTTTTTGAGTTCAATACAAAATTCTAAATCAATAAAGAACGGTCTACAGAGAGCTCAATTAATACAATTAAATTTATCATAAATAAAAAAGGTATAAAAGTATCAAATATTACCTAAGGTAAGTGAGATTTACAATTCCATGTATATCAGATAAAAAAACTATAATAATAATAATAATTAGAATACTATAACGAATTAGAAAATAACCAAATATAATGCAACGTCGTCCAACGGGCGGAAAAAAAACTAGTACTTATGCTCACTTTTACTCAACATTAATAATAATTTACATTAAACAAAATATAAAAATTGAAACAAAGAATAAAATATCTCGGGTTTGTTTAAACTAAAAATCAAGTAAATTATCTACTCATTTTAACCAAAACTTAATATGAATACCTTTTCACTTATCCCAGTTCCTTATTTTTTTCGGCCTTTGCTTTCAATATATTCAATGTTCCTTCATGATTTATGTGCTTTATTTTTACAATTAACTTTCCAACAATATTAGTTTCTTATTCTTATCGGCCTTAGTTTACAGTATTTTAATGTCTCTTCCTGATTTATATTCAAAATCTTCCCATTTCCAAATATTTCATTCAAATTTGTATTTAAATTGTGTCAATAGATATTTATTTTCTTTCTGTTTGACTTGTTTATAGATTATTAGCAATCGTAAATGAAAATTAGTTACAAATGAATAATAAGTTTTTAGTTCCGTCCAATTAAATATTTAAAACATTTATCTAAAAATGACTTAACAATTTACTTATGTGATTTATTGAAGTAAGAATTTTGGTGTAATAACAAGTTCGAACCAATTTTGGTAAAGTAGTTGGCACATATCAAAGACTGGGATTTACTATCTTATATCGAATGACTAGAAAAATTTCGTAACCAAGGAGACAAGGTCAATATTTTTCTGCCGGTAAAAATCATTCAAAAATATATGAACAATCAAATTAATTTAATGTTGTTAGTGTAACGAATAGATATTGATATGTTTTGAACAAATTTTCTTTATATTCTGTTAGAGATTGATAATATTCACACAACAAACTTGGATGTCCATACAATAGACATAGAAGATTTGTAGGTACGGTATTAAAATAATTACATTACCAATATTAATCTTTTAGTTTAGATATCGACCACACCGCGTGAACAAACGTGCAAAACATACCAATATTAATCTTTTAGTTTAGATTAAATAAAATTGTTAGGACCCTATCCTTTTCCTGATGCATGTGTGACTATTCTTGCTTCCTTTATGTTTATGTTTTCTATGATAATTTGTTTGAGTATTTAAAATATAGACGAACACTATCATAAAAGTTGTACTTACTACATTAACATTTCTTATACCAAGCACTTACATAGAAATTAGAATTGCCATCACGTGTCAATTAGTCAAAACTTGAAGAAAGAGCTAACTAAATCAGTCACAATCACATATGCATGCCGAATGGTTAGGTGCAATCCACCACATGCATAATTTGGGGATTTAATTAACATGTCTATGCTATTTTCAGGTTAATGGTGCTTAGTAATGAAATATTTTTCAGTTGGGTATATGGAGGTAGCGATTAAATTGTAGCACCCATTTCAAGAACCAAAGTTCACATGGTGCAGGCTATTGAAACTTAGTAAGTAGCTATAAGAGTCCGGTCTCTTCGCACCTTTAAAACAAAACACCTAATTCACATATTTTATGAATAACTTTATTTATTTATTCATGTTAATTTGAGTTATTCATGTCATATTGGCGTTATTGACGTAAGTGTGTTGATGATTGAACCTTACTTAGTAGTTATAAGGGTTAATATATTTGTGTGGCCTGAACTTTTCACATAATAAACATAATGGCCAATCATGTTGATCTATAATATTATGGCCTAAACTATACACCAAAGTAACGAAATTGGCCAAACTAGAAAATTGACCGTTATTTTGGATGGTCAAATGCGTTGACTAACGCTCAACATGCCTCGTCACCGCCAAATTTATATTTTTCACCTTTCACTATTTTTTTCATATTAAATCAAAAATTGAAAAATGAAAAAGTAAATAGTAATGTGTGGAAAATATAAACTTTTTAAGTGAAATGTGCTGACGTGGCGTGTTGATAGTTAGTCAACGTGTTTGACCATCCAAGATAATGGTCAACTTTCGGGTTTGGCCAATTTTGTTATTTTGGTGTATAGTTCAGGCCATGATGTTATAGATAAAAAAGATTTGCTAGGATGTTTATTATGTGAAAAGTTCAGACCATACAAATATATTAACCCTAGTTATAAATAGGCCGGGGTGAAACCATACACCAAGCATTAAAGACATCACGATCTTTTCATTGTTAAAATTGAGAGAGACGACATTTAGAGATCGTGAGTGAGTGAGCGAAATGGCGTTGTCGACTACGTTGGTGGTTGTCATATTCATGAGCATCTGTGGTGGAGCTGCAACAACGACCACGTCCGGTAAGAAGGACCAAGTGGGAACTCTACCTGGCCAGCGAGCTGCCGGAGAGCTCCCTTTCAGCCACTTCAATGGCTACGTCGAACTTCTCGGCGGCGGACCAACAGAGGGGACGATGATGCCGGCACGGAATGTATTCTACTACTTTGTGCAACACGATAACTCTTCCCAACCCGCCGCAGAAGCGCCGCTGGTTGTGTGGTTCAGTTTAGGTGAGTAATAAATAATAATATTATTATAATATATAACAACAACAAACAAACTCAGGACAGAGTTTTAGTTACTAATAATGTTGTTTTTCCTTTTGTCGAAGGACGATTTTGCTCTCCAGTTGGATATGGCGGGATGTTGGAGGTGGGCTCGCTTCGGGTCTAGTCCGACATGGCGCTCCGACTCAACGAGCACTCGTGGCACAAAGGTACCTACGTGTTAGCTAACTACTTAATCAACGTGAGTTCTTTGTCTCCTTGTGATTTTATCAACATTTGATTCAATTAACTTATTGTTTGCAGAAGCGAATCTTCTCTTTGTGGAGCTGTCGGTCGGCGTCGACTTCTCCTACTCTAAGAGCATCACCGCAGCCGTAAAATCAGATGAGCAGATAGCAAAAGACGCAGTCTCTTTCCTCCACCAGTGGGCAGAGAAGTTCCCGCAACACCGCCAAGCTGATCTCTACCTTGAAGGAGAAGGCCACGGGGCCATCACCTCGTCCGTCTGGCTGCCCAAACCATGAGAGACGCGTTTTTGCTTCCACCGAGGATGCGACTCTGAGGAATATTGGTACCTTTGCTTGACGTCGTACATAGTTTTCTCTATATATTTCTCTTATTTTTAACTAAAATTCCTTTATTATTACCTATAATATTTACCATCTCATCGATTTTCTTACACAAAAATTATGTAAGATAAGTTGACTTTATATAATAGTTTACCAAATATAATACTTTTCGACAATTTGATTTTAGTGTTAGACGACTCATTATGAAAAAAGTATGTAACTTTGTTATATAACATAACTTTGTTATATATAATAGTTACATAAATTATAGATATGGAATTTGCTATGGTGACTTGCAAGTCATCATAACTTGCACATTTCGGTCGACCTTAGTTAGGATTAGGTCGACCTAATATGTTGTTTCAGTGTAAAAACAGTTTCATGGTGCCTACTTTGGAGATTCATATCTTACATTTGGCTCGCTGGAAATTGGAGATTAATGGCTTGTTTTGAAGCTGGAGTGTCCCTCTACACATTGAAGTACTTGGGAGCTCGATAGGAAGTCTAGAAGACCATTTTGAACAGGATCAAATGTCTATGCCAAAACTGGGAAACTACCTGAAAATGGCCAAGTCTGGGAACGTGTTTGTGAAGCCTACTTTGGAGCTCAATTTGAGAAGCATGGATGAGAGTCGAGTCCAGGAGCCTCTACCACGTGAAGGTAGGTATGTTTGTATACAAAGGAAAGACATTTGATAAAATATTGGATATCTGGAAGGCTTCAAACAAAAGGCTCGAAGTTGCTGCGAAGGCTGTTTTTTCTGGCAT